CGTCACAGGTCAAGGTGACTATCGTTGGTATTTTAATATTCTTTAAAACTTATAACATGGCGTTATTTCTTTTCGATTCATCTTCATTTAAAAACTACAACGAATGTTTTGTCCAAACTAATTTGTTTATGCAAATTCCCCGGAAATATAGTTGCTTTAAACGTCTATAAATGACAAAAAATTAAACCTTAACCTTGGTATTTTTATAGAGTTAAAAATATAGGTCGAAAAGGGGTGTTATTGTTAGTTGTACAAGGGGTTTTGTATAAATGATACTATTGGTCCTTTATGAATGTCAACTTTTATTTTTCAAGTACCGGCACTTCGATACTAATTTCAAAAGGAAGAGCAGAAGTTTGATTTATAACTCATACATAATGTAGTAGAATTCGACATATTGAAAGAGCCACGAAAATTTTTGCCTTTTAATCTATATCGAACATTGAGTGAAAACTGTAGTCTCTATCAGGTTGACGAGTATAACTACAATATACATGCACGTTCAGGTTCAGACAGTACCTGTATATATAGTATTAGCAAGGTATGATACCGTTATTTCAAAATATATAAAAATCAAGACCGATTGTTACAACTATAACAGTTATTAAAAAGATTTGTTCCCCTTTATTCAATAAACCATTTATTCATTATTTTGGACATGTGTTTTAAACTATCGCACCTCAAATCGTCAAATGTTTTATCATTAAAATCTCATTATTAACAATCACCACCACTCAGTTTACCTACCATCACTCAGTTTATTATCTACCACCATCACTCAGTTTATTATCTACCAACATCACTCAGTTTATCATCTACCTACATCATTCAGTTTGTTAACTACCAACATCACTCACTTTATTCATTACCACTATCACTTAGTTTGTTAACTACCACCATCACTCAGTTTATTACCTACCACCATCACTCAGTTTATTACCTACCAACATCACTCACTTTATTAACTACCACCATCACTCAGCTTAGTTACCGTTTTATTTACCATCTTTCAGTTTATTGACTACCACCATCTACCACCATCACTCAGTTTATTAACTACCACCACCACTCAGTTTAGTAACTACCGGTTACCATATCTCAGTTTATTGACTACCATCATCACTCAGTTTATTACCTACCATCACTCAGTTTATTAACTATACCATCACTCAGTTTATTACCTACCATCTCTCAGTTTATTATCTACCACCATCACTCAGTTTATTATCTACCAACATTATTAATTTTGTTAACTACCACCATCACTCAGTTTATTAACTACCACCATCACTCAGTTTATTACCTACCATCATCCAGTTTATTATCTACAAACATCACTCAGTTTATTATCTACCACCATCACCCAGTTTATTATCTACCACCATCACTCAGTTTATTAACTATACTATCACTCACTTTATTACCTACCATCACTCACTTTCACTTTATTACCTACCATCACTCAGTTTATTATCTACCACCATCACTCAGTTTATTATCTACCACCATCACTCAGTTTATTAACTATACCATCACTCAGTTTATTATCTACAAACATCACTCAGTTTATTAACTACCACCACCACTCAGTTTAGTAACTACCGGTTTATTTACCATCTCTCAGTTTATTGACTACCACCATCATTCAATCTTCTGAGAGATGCCCACAGCATTGGCAATATGTCGAGTGGAAATCGTTGATCACCCAGCACCATGCCATGCAGCTGGGTAATGTTTCCTGGAATTGTTACTGTTGAAGGCCTTTTTGGAAGCAGACTACAGTAACTGCCATCACTCAGTTTATTTTTACAATTACCACGCTTTAGTTTAGTTACCACATGATTGATTTTGTAACCAAGTGTTTACTTGATTGTCGAGTTAAAACTATGGAGCAAATACTGATGACGTCCGTCAACATTTCTTTGTAGCAAAATAAAAACAAACAGTTTTATCTGTTTTATAGTTAAGATCTAGATCAATTTGAACATTTTTTTATTGAATGGGTTTTGATTCTTTCATTTCTCTTTACTTAAACGCCGCGTATTTGTTAACAACATAGGAGCTGCAAGTTTCTATCGTTTTTTGGGTGAAACTTAGTGAAATCATTGCTATTATCAAAGTTTGTGATATGTACGAAATTAATGGATTTTCGAAGAAAGGTTTTGCAGTAATAGCACTTGACTTGACTGGTTAAAACGCCTAAGAATCTGTTTATGAACACAATTGTTTTCAATGGATTTTGGTGAAAAGTAGTAGGCCTCTATTGGACATATATCTTGCATGAGTTCAACATTGACGATTTTTAGATGATTTTTTTTTTGTATGAACAGAAGCTACAGTTTACAATTGCTTTCGATGAAATTTGGTGTGATCATAGATAAAGATTAGAACGTGGATGAATGAGAATAAAGTTACTGCCTTTGACTTAGTTGAAATATTAGTTGATCTCAGATGTATTCAAATTCAATATATTTCTGGTTATTGTCCTTTACTTAGTTGAAATGCATCTAAAAAATGGTTTTTAAAGGGACATTCCACTTTATTTGTAGGAGGAAATTTTTTTTTCTTCAAATTTGTGAAAATTATACAACAAAATCTAGAGAAATGTTTTTAAACGTATTTGAAAGTTGCAACTAAAAAAATGCAGCCGTTAATTTGTAAACGCGAAAAATATTTAAAAACATTATGTAAGGTTTCTAAGTTCGTTATGCTTTTCGGAAGCTCTTTGAAAACTTCTGTACGGATTTGAGTAAAATAAACGTCTAATTGTGGAGAAATATATCTCGTACGTATTCTAAAGGTTTCAACTAATAATATCAAGCCATAATAAAGCCAACCACCAATACTGCTTAATTAACAATTAGTACTCTCAGTTTTTGATTAACAATTTTAAAACCAATTCAGTTTGATCAAGAAGATATACTTAGATATAAATAGCATACTTTAGAAATATTTTCAGGTATAATTTACAACGTTTTTGATAATAAAAACGTTTTACAAAAAAGCGGAATACCCCTTTAAACCTTTTTTTAATGAACATGTTCTTTTATATTTTAGGCAAGATAAGGAAAACATAATTCATTTTTAACTATTTTTTTTTTCATTTGGCTCAAACGTCCAAAAAGCTTAATTAAAATTAAATAGCTATTTAGCTATAGGAAACTTTAGTCAGTTTAACTAAAAGGGGGGAAACAGGAAAAAAAATATAACAGAATTTGCATTTCAACTGAAAGGCTATACAATTTTTGCCAAGGAAAACATGGTTCAAAAAATTTGTGAAGGTTCGTTGCTCCTTGATAATTAGTCACCTATGATTTTTATGAAAATTGGTTAAAAAATTTAGTGGCAATTACATTTTAAATATTTGAGGTAAAGAGGGTCCAAGAAATTACGTGGTATTCCCTCAAAAACAAAACACAAAACCCAAATCTTTGGAAAATTCAATAAAAATGATTTTTTTTTATTCTTTAGACGAAATATTTGTGTGTTTTATATTTTTCCACAAAGGATATTCCTGGCGAAGGACATTGTAAAAGCATCTACACGATGATAACTATTTCGGTCTTATTTCATATTACTAATTATTAATATTATCATACTAAATTATCATTAATCAAATCAGTTGAACACTGCAGGAGATGAACTCTGTTTCTAATTACAGGAAGACACTCACGCATTGAAATTAATCTTCATTTTATGTTATGTATACATCTACATTAAAGTTCGCTCCCTTTAAAATACTTGAGATATTTAAGTGATACGAGGACGAATAATTCATAAAATCCTATTCAACAACGTTAATTTCAATTTCTTCGGGAATGAAACAGGACTTCAAAGTTGTTATTTTATTCATTGATACTCGGAAATTGGTTAATGTATCGGTTGTTGACATTGTTAAATATCTTAAAGAAACTATGCTCATTGTCTTTTACTTTCATATTTTGTCGCATTTTTCAATTTTTTTCTCTTGTGAAATTTTTGGTCGTAAGATTATTTTTTAAAAAAGGATTTGATCCAAAAAATGGAAACTTTGTTAACATACATGAAATTGGCAAGAGGCAAAAAACGAATGGTTATTCATACATTTCAATAATTGCTATAGCGAGAGAGTATTTTCTATTGATACGAATTTCATTGTGGTTCTTGCTAAGTTACATTTTGAGAAATTTACCCACTTTGTCTTTTAGGAGTTTTGAAAGTGGACTATGCAATCGATATGCTTGTCCATAAGATAAATTCTAACAAGAAAGCTACTTTAAATGTTAAGTGAAAGTAATGGGATGCGACACTTGACATGATGAACGTAATAAAGTTGTTTTCATTGAGGCTTATGTTTGTTTAGATATTCCTTGTTCCTGGTCAAAGTTGAAGACTAGCAATATAAGAGATAAGAGCCATGGGTTACAGTTACAAGATTAGTTATTATAAAAATCTTGTGCGTTAATTTGATATTATAGGTTTGAAGAAAAGCTCGATGAAATGAATACCAATACCGTCAGAAAAAGAATGTTTTAAAGTAACCACTTATGTTAAATAGATCTATAATAGTTGGATGTTGACCATTATTTTGAACCGATATAGTATACTCATACTGGAAACTTCACTCGTATGTTCATTATTGGAACACGTATAAAGTAGTATCTTAAAATTGTAATGCATGTAACCTGTTAATTATACAGAAACTTTTTTATTTGTGAACTACTCGTCAATTGTTTTCGATCACTGTTATTACGTTAATTATCAAGAGCTCTGTGAGTAAGCTATTTCACTTTTAACTTTGAGAACCTCTTGTGAACTCTACGAATCGTTCTGTATAATTTGGGAACTGCACGTATGCTGTTATCGTACACTGTTACGTATGGTCATTATTGAACCTGAATTCCGTCATATACTCATATCAATTAAACGACCCAATACTGTGGAACGAGTTTGGGTACATCATTACAGAACATTTGGAAACGTTAGACAATAACTAAAAAAATCTTAACACATTTGACAATATGGCAAATGAATCACATTTGTGTTTTAAGTGGTTGAAACATGACAACTCCACGACAATCGAGGACCTGAATGATCAGTTTACATTGAGGCATCTCGGAGGAATCATATTTACTGCTGTTTTGATGATATTTGGATTTTTTGGTAACATTATGGTACTATGGATTTATATTCGCAGATTTAAGCCATCGACCTATAGAATCTATACGGTATGCTTAGCCCTTATGGATATTGGGAATTGTTGTACGGGAATGCCTTTTTTGATATACTATATGAGTCATTACTTGATATTCCCGTCAGCTGCGCTATGCCAATTCGGACGCTTCATGATCATGTTTACGACTAATTGTTCAGCTTACATTTTAATAGTCATAGCTTTTGACCGTTTCAGAAAAGTGTGTCGACCGCTTAAGTGGCAGATGTCGCATAAACACGCAGCGCTGTGCTGTATAATTGCAGGTTGTACAAGTCTTATCGTATCGTGGCCAACGTTGGTAGTGTATGGTAATCACACCATGGAAACTGTTGTGGAAAATTTGCCTGGTTTGCGTTGCTGGACAAAAGATCCTTTGGTAGATACATCATACCCGAGTGCCTATTTTATAACGGTATGTGTAATGATGGTAACAGTGATGGTCGTTTTATTTGTGGCGTATATAAACATTTTGAGGTTTTTACACCGGCACAAGACAACTGGAATCAACATAAAAACAAAAAGCACCACCATTACACTCCTGGCGGTAACAGCGGCGTTTCTACTTAGCGCCATTCCCTATTATAGTATGGTGATTGCGCTACTTATTCTTACAAGACTTAATTGTGATATGACGTTTAGTGAAGGGTTTGCGTATTACACCATTGTGTTCTCTATTCTTCTAAATCACGCTGTCAATCCATTTATTTATGGGTTTTTAGATAAGAAATTTCGACGGGAAGTGTGGAGTATGTTTAAGAAGGGAGACGGGAAAGAAGACATGACCACAAGTGGTAGTAAATTTGATGGATCTGTCAATAAAATAGACCAATAAACCCTGACGCTTTATCTGTACAAATTGTACAATTTACAATTGTGATCTGAAACGAAGAGACACAAGGGCCTTATACTTGTACATGATTTTTTGCTTAATCGCTTTTAGATTTCGGGGGGTGGGGGTGATTCTCTCAAATGTACAGGCCTAGGATGGAACAAATTCTTAGAAATTTGAATAAACTATCTGGAACTGCAACGTATTTTTGTTCTGTTCTGATTTGAAATTCGATAAAATAACAACTCGCCCAAAGGGGCCTGATAAATGTTTATTTAATTATTTCACATGATTTTTGCTTAATCGCTTTTAGAATTAGTCAGCGCTGTTTTATAAGATACAGAAGATACTCAGCTTTTCATATCTATTTTTCCAGATCAATACTAATATTCTACTCATTATGAGCCCACAAGGGAATTTTTGCACTGAAATAACCTTGAGTTTTGATGGATAACGTTGCTTGACACTAGCCTAATTATGTGTTAAAAAACGTCCAATAGTTTCTTATTTCAATGATATGATGAGAGTAAATTACAATTGAGCTTTACATCAGTACAGGATATGACCGACTAATCAGTTTGACTTATGACTAATATAACTACTAACAACTATTTATTGGTGTTTAAAGGGATACTAATTTATACTTCCTTTTGCCTTTCTGTTGTTATATTTCGGATAAGATAGTGTTTGATGTCAAATAAATATACCGGTCACGGGAGGTACAGATGCCTCATTTAGAAATTGGAGGGGATGAATCTGGAAAAGTTAAAAATAAATATCCGCCTTATAGGCTATGCACTGGTTGATTTGAAATTTGTGACATTTTGCCATGTAAGTAACACAGTTACATTTCTTGGTTGATATCCAGAACTAACGTTGGGACAAACGAATATTTTATTTTTTTCGTCGATTTTGTCGCTGTGGCGAATCTTCGTGTGCCCGAGATATGACCCCACAGAGCGTCATCATCCAATCATGTCGTTGTGTTAAATATGAAGTAAAGTGTTACATGTGCGACAAAAATCAGCGACAAATACCATTCGTTGGCCCTAGCATTAAGTGTTTATTTAATTTGGAACGATATATCAGTGAGTGTGATAAGAAAACCACGACAAACTATCAAACTATATTTTCATAGATTTTCAGAGCAGTCATGCATTTGTTTTTGCCGTATATTTGTATTTATTTGCCTTAAATTTATTTACATATTGACTGTTTTCAACCCAGTGTTCATTTATTTTATACATTTTTAAAGTTATCAATTAAAGAGTCAAAAACAACTTGTTATATTTCAAGATTACAATAATTATGACCTAACGGAAATTTTGGTCGAATCCATCGCAGGCTACAATATTTTGGCAAACAATTGTATGTTTTAGTTGTGCCAAGGTAAGATGGCGAATAGAATTTCTACTGCTGAATTGGGCCCGATGAAGGCGAACTCCATAAGTGAAGATGAATGAAGGTCCAGTGGTCATTTCGAAATTTTGCCTGGACAGCGTCAACAAGCACGGCCTGTAGAACACTTGACCTTTTGTCTCATAACAACGAGACAAAATATTTGTGTTTTCATTAGCAATTGTGATCAAATATTATATATACCAAGTTTGTTTAATGCAAATCATATCTTTTTCCATACAAAACTTCTTAATAGTTATAGCAGACAAGAACCTAGTTAACCACCATTGAAATCACTACGACAGACAAAATACGTCTTAAAATCACATGTTATTGATTTGGTTTTTGGGGGTGGGGGATTGGCTACCTTAATTACATGTGTACAGAATGATTAACGACTATTCAATATGGCGGTGAACATAAACAGAAACAGTCAACAATCGATTTTCTATTTAAGTTTCCAGGACCCGTTTCTCGCGCGTGACTAATCGAAGAAAAACTTTTTTGACGCTCGTTATGTCTATGTTCGTACGTTAATCTACAATATTTTGACAAATCGGTTCTGGACTCCTCTGTCAATTCTGACAAACAAATTTGTGGTTTTTCAAGGTTTTGTTTCAAGCGGTCAATCGATGCAATGAAAATGAGACAGTACTTTTCTTTTTGCTTTGTTTAGAGAACAACATCGAGTCCCGCCATTAAAATGGTGGCCCACTGTGTTCATGATCGGATTCTTGTAAGTAGGTTATGTGTGTGGTTTCGTATGAGCTTCTTTCAAGAAAAATTATTCATATTGGTAAAATTGAAAACCATAACAACTACGTCTACAGTGAACTATCCACCATGAAATTATGTATACTGATTCAGATATTTTTATATATATAGTCATGAAACGTTGAGCAACAAAAACATGTTTTTTTAGCTTCTGTTTCAATATTTTTAACTTCACATAGATGTACATGTAGCTCTTTTTATATTTAACTGAATATAGCATGATACAGGAGAGGGATATTCAGATAGCTTCACAACCCGTTACATGTTTCGACACTCTGCACTCCCTTCATAAGCCCACGACTTGGTGCAGAAAATACGATAAGATGATAAAATTCTTACCCATATATTATTACTGTAGCGAATACTTTAATAATACGCAACCAAACGAGTGATTAAAGGACAAGAGTCTACAAATTGCAATATAAGAAAATTTTCGATCAGAAACACAACACAACATGAAACAGTAATCAATAAAAATACCAATGGACTATTTGTAAACAAGATGCGATAATTGGAATTTTTAAAAATTTGACACTTTTTACCACATTTATATTTTTAGGACATGCATTGTCAATGTTCCCAATACAAAACAACTAAAACAGATGTAAAGACTATTAATATACATTTATAAATTTTCGTTACCAAAAAGATTTTGTGTTCTATTTACTACAATTGACAATGAAACCAAACTAGCTAGCTAGGAACCATTGCTAAAATAGTTTTGCTTCTCGATGAAATATTTTGGGTCAAAAGTTTGCAGACATCTTTACTTTAAGAAGCTGTTAGAAAATTGTATTCGTCCTTTCTTAACACACTCCACTGACACCATACAACTTAAACCTTCTTAAATTTAACATAACTCAACAATCAATAGTTCACTTCTGTTGAGACCGACCATCGACTTGTCTTGATTATAAAGTAAGCAGAAAGATTTAAGCCAATTTGCAAAATGTTAGATCTTGACTTGAGAACTTAACAAACGCTGTAAATTTGGTAATTGCTCTAAAGCTTTAAGAACTTTCTATTGGATGCTTCAAGCGAAAATAGTAGACGACAGGGAAACAAATAGTCGATAAAAAGTGAAGGGCCGATATTCAAGTCTTATGTAGTTTGTGTACACTTTACATTGTAAAAATGGAAACGTACAATATGTCTTGTCGGAATAGTACATGTAATATTTCAATATCGGGAAATGAAACACAATCAGAACTGCCATTTTTAATTCTGAGTGAATCGTCTCAAGTGGGATTAATTATATTATATACCTTAACATCACTGTTGGCTATATCTGGTAACGTAGCAGTAGTTGTTGTGTTTGTTAAAGGAAGACGATGCCGTAACGATCTCCGACCATTCCTGATAAATTTGGCTCTAGCTGACCTCATCATGGCTGTGTTTTGTTTGCCGTTTACGTTCTCTTACGTTATTTTCAAAACATGGATTTTTCCAGAAGCGCTGTGCACATTCGTTCTCACAATGCAGCACCTTTCAGTATCTGCCAGCGTCTTCACGAATATGGCAATCGGAACTGATCGCTTTTTGGTCGTAATGTTTCCATTGCGATCTCGTTTGATGACTTCCAGGGCTAAATTTGTCCTCTTAGCTATCTGGATTTGTGCTGCCGGTTTATCGTCAGTACAACTTGCTGTAAGCAGAGCTCAAACCTTCACTTATGGAGGTTACCAGTTCACAACTTGTGACGAAATTTGGCCGACAGAAAAGGCTCGAAGAACATTTACTTTGTTTGTGTTGCTAATTACGTATATTTTGCCTTTGTGTATTCTTTCTGTTACATATACTATTGTGGGAGTATTGTTGTGGCGCCGAATTGCACCAGGAAACGCCGACGAAGCCAGAGATTATAAACAATTGAAGAACAAAAGAAAGGTCAGTGATATTTTATTTGTGAGTTCCAGGCCCGTAGCCAAATGGGGGCTTGAGCCAACCCCCCCCCCCCCCTCCCCCTCCTTAATCAAATCTTATATAGACATAATATGTCAAGTTAACTCTCAAAAAGGGGTCAAATTTCAAGATACGTCTTTGTAATTTTGTGGATAACTTGAGAGAAACACTAGATATAAGGAAGTCGATTATATGTACTTGAACCTACTTAATCCTAGTATATTTTAATACCAAACAAACTGATTTCGGTTATTTTGTCAGATAGAACTAGTTACTTCTCGACCGACGATATATCATTCTAAATTGTATTCATATGAATCAAAACAACCCAAAGCAGGAAAAATGGATAAATATTTGATCAAAAAAGACAAATTGCTTGATGGTTCTGACACTACTACGACTTACACTGGTATCAAAATCACAGCAGGCAACACTATAGTAACATTAGCACAACTAAACGAATATTCTTTGAAGTTATCGACTTATGATTCTGAATGAGATGAGGATGAGATTTCAGGACAATCACTGGTTGTATAGTTCCTCTCGTGCAATGTCTCGGAATTCTCCTCAATTTTTGGATCAGGCGGCTCTGACACCGTTATCCAAGTTTGGAGTAGAAATTCCCTCTGTCGCTGAACTTGTGTCAAAACAATTCTCGAAGATAACGTTGCCAAGACAGAAAAGCAGGACTCCAATCTTGTTCTTCAAAAACTATACGAGCAGAAATTGGCTTTCCCTAAATTATATGCACTGGCTGCAAGCGTTGCCACATTCGGTTCTAGTACCGCTGTGTATGAAAGCAGCTTTTCAACTCTTACTCGCGTTGACTCACCACAACGACGATCTATGACTCAGCTTCGCCAGCGCAATCTTGTTCTTCTTGCCTTCAACAGGAAGCGTACGCAGAAAATTAACTTGGACGTATTTGTTCACCGTTTTGCCATAAAACATACCCGACTACGTTTAAACTAAAATGGCAAAAAAAATGTAACGTATTATAACTTGTGTGTTTTAACAAAAATAATCTCGAATCTAAAATACTCCGTGAGAAGTCCGTTTCCCGACGTTTAATCGTCTGTCATAGTGCTTTGCTAAATTGACCCCCTCGATTGCACGTTTGCCTAACCCCAACCCCCCAGGAGTACTTGTCAGGCTACGGGCCTGGTGAGATCAGATTGTAAACTTGAATTATTCTACTACATTTTATGAAAATACACAATTAAAGAAATGTTCACAGTTCTACAGATCAAATACAATACACATAAAGCGGGAAATTAACCAAAAAATTGGCACAAATACATAGATTTAGTTATACACAAAGTTTAAACAGACAAAAAAAAAAAAAAAAAAGGTATGAATAAAATAATTTTTATAAAACAGTCATAAAGCTAGAATTGAACAGACACATTTTTTTCATAAAAACACAGATTCACATTTTATTGATATATTAACACATTGATTCGAGTATTAACAAAAATATTATATTATAGCACAGCCGGTACCACCAAAAAAATGTTTTTTCATCATTGTTAAAACAAATTAATCATCACTAAGCTAACCAACACTTGCAGTCCTTGCTTTGGACCTAGGCCAGTGCTTTCTATGAGTTAAATTCTCATTTCACCAAGAAGCAGGTGTGCCATTTAGGAGGGCTGATTTTAGTCTTCAAATACGTAAATTGTCTTCAGAATTATTAGAAACCACAAAATTCCTTACAAATACTTCAAACTAGGAATTTTACTCACTATGTCTTTATATGTCTTTTCTATATATCACAGAGTATTTTAAATTGACGAGTCGTCATTTAAACATTCAAACGCAGATAATTCTGGACACACATAGATTTGAAGGCTAAAATTTCGACGGTGAACTGTGAACACTGATTAGCCCAGCTAAACATTTCCAGTTTCTGAGACTAAAGTGTAATTGGTCAAAAAATGGACTACCTGTCCCATTTTAATTGATGATCCCCATTTCTCAAACTTATACATAAATGCAAAAATTCATTACCCAAATGGTGTCCAAATTATTACAAAGTTTGAAATTGTGTTACCTCCTCGCACGAAGAAATAACTTGGTAAAACTTGTTCAAAATTAGCTCCTTAATTCGTGTTCTGGACCCATTTATTAAGGTTTGGTTATAAAACATAAGGAAACCAATTCAGATGATTGCAGAGCTCTGTGAAGCTTTAACCGTAGCATCTCGTAATAAAGAAAGAGTAATTTGCAATCATTGAAGATGTTGGGTATTTAATTCTTATTGCACTACACTGTAGACCCATAAGATCATCTTGTCAAAAGTTATCTCCCTGTACCAAATCCATTGTTTTTATATATCAAAATCATTGAACTAGATATTGATGACAGTTTTAACACAGAAACTCGACCCACATACATCTATTGGTATTGTGCATAAAATCAGCTATTGTCTGATATACAATTCCCATAACACTACAAACTGTACAAGAAGTCAACAGACCAATTCATATCGTGACAGGTTCTTGATTTGATTAATGAAGTTCCAATCTGAGAATCTGAAGATAATTGAAAATTTCACATGGAAATCAAATGGTAAAGAAATGTCTAAGACATGGAATGTTTCGATTTTGTAATAGTGGTTGTTATTTTTGTCAAAGAAATGTGGAAAATTAGCTTGTGGACACATCAAATTCAGAAGGCCCGAATTTACGTAAATTATTACTGGTTAACAAAATCGGACAATGCAGTGCAGTGTGCGACTGGAAGGAGCTTGAAATCTCTCTGATTCGAACAAAACAACAATATTTTCATGTCGGTCAGTTAATCCAGGTCTTATAAAGAGCCATTTTTAAAATGATAAAAAACAGTTAAACTTATGTCTTAAAAAATGTTGAAAAAATATAGGTTTTTTCTTTTTAAAGAATTTATGAAACTGAAAATCCTAATACTTATATGAATAGAAAGTAGAGATGTTCTAATGACTTGGAAAAATACCAGTTTGTCTCACATGATCCATAATTAATTCATAATTAACTAAATAAGAAGAGAATTACCAACAGAATTCCAAGGACCGATCAAGAAAGGTCAAAAAGTCTTTTTTTGTTTATCCAGACTGTACATTCATGCACAGCTATGATTGGTTAAAAGTACTTATACTAAGCAATAAGAACATAATGATATGATTATGAATACATCATAATTCATTACAAACACCAATTAATCAAACAGTTTGCTAAATTTGACACTAATAAATAAGGAAAACCATCTTTAAATATATATATATATATTGTATTGTTACTATGCCTTGAAAATATGGAATTGAAACGTCATGTTGGCAGTAAATATTATATACCAAAAAAGACTGTTTTCCCTTTTCTGTGCTAGTGCTCTGTAATACCACATTGTTTTCATGTATGATTTTGACTATCAGAACAGATAAATGATGTGGTCAATTGGACCAATATTTAGAAATATTGTTGCATGCACCAGAGTTTAAAGAAATAAAACAATATATTTCCATAGATTTTATAGAAATATAAGGCATTTGACATTAATGTTGCAAATGAGGGTTCGGGACGAGTTGTGGTCGTCACTGACAATCATTAAAATCCATACACACCTTTCATCACGGAGTTAAATTCATTAACCCTAGTTAACTCTAAATCTTCTAGGTAACAGAGAACGAAGCATCAGACTGATAATCAAGCTTAACTTATGAGGGGAGATACAACCTATATTTAAATCAATGCTGGAAAACTTATTGACTGGTCAGGGAATGTGACAAGTTTGCCACTTTGAACTAATATTCTAAACTCAACAACCCATGCCTCAATTAAGGCATGAACTAGATATGATCTGTAACATGCAAATAAATATTTTGATACTTAAAACAAATGATTTTACTAATTTTCGATTAAATTTAGCAGCTAATTAATGAATACAAAAGTGACTTTGAAATATTAAACAAGATGGCCGCTCTGAAACAGGTAATAAGTACAGTAACTACAAAAGTGATAATAACTTTAGGCATGCTATACCGACCTGAAAAGTAAAGACAGGCACTCTGAGAGAAATACTAGGGCTACCTAATAAACAAGAAAAATAGTGATAATTATGTTCTGCCTATTCATGCCGACTAAATTACAAGTTGTAAAGTTATAAGTATACCAAGCTGACAGCAATATGAAAGTAAAGCCAAACCTGTTATGGTGGATTATTTATATGTCATGTGCCACTTTGTAAAGGATGGTTGGGCTAGCATCACGAAGTATAATGTTTTTTGACAAGCAGACAATTCAATTGAGTTTTTAATATCAGGCTGGTTTACAAAAATTTTATTAAGAAATAACAATCACTGTAGGCCTACATGTATGTAAGTTTGCTCGAATTTTGATGTACAAGGTTTTACCGTCATCATTCTAAAAATGGTTTATTTTAGTAGAAATACCGGACGTTCCAGATAGCTAATGTCGAAAACATTTTTTATATAGAGGGAATTGTGTGAAATTTACTGCTTTTCAACCTTGATATATGGGTCTTAAATAAAACGCAGTCAGTGTAAAGTTACAGTAACCACAGATTCCACGAGCTATAATATAGTCCATAAAAATTCCACAACTCCAAGGTTTAAAAGGGTTCAATTTTGCGTGAGTAATATATATTGACTTTTTACTAGTTTGAGCTTGCGAGACCCAGATTAAAACCTAATACACAGTATTGATTAAGAATTTGAAGTTGAGATTAGTGACGGCGCCAGGCTTTCTTAAGATAATAGTTCGTACCTCAAAGTGCACCCCATTTCATTTTTAATAACATTCAAAATTTGATTTTTATATGTTTATTCCCGAAAATTTATGTCAAAACTCACCAAATCAATTTTGCTTTTCTAAATTTTTTATGGCAAGGAGAACCCATTCAGACTTTCCATCAGAGACTAGCGCGTATTGCGCTTCCGCATTTGGAATCTCAAACCCACAGTTGTACCCCCATTTTCAGGAGGCCGGCGGCGGCAAAAATATTTTCATTCT